TTTAACGAAACAGGATGAAGTCTTCAGCTGGACCGAAGACCATGAAAATGCTTATGAATATTTGAAAAACTGTTTGATAACCTAGTCTATTGTAGTGTACCCCAATTTTAATGAACATTTTTATCTTAACACTGATGCTTTTAATTATGCCATTGGTACTGTACTAGCACAAAAGGATGAAAAAGGACATGAAAGAGTTATTGCCTATGCCAGCTGAGTTCTGTCTCTAGCAGAGACACATTATACCGTTACCAAAAAGGAATGTTTAGCTGTGATATGGGCTACCAAACATTTCCATACCTTTTTGCAAGGATCGTCATTTTCTGTCGTTACCGATCATGAAGCCATTCCTTGACTTAAGAAACATAAAAATCCTAAAGGAAGGTTAGTTCATTGAATTATTCATCTATTAGAGTATGAACCCTACACCATACTGTACAGAAAAGGAAGTAGTCATACCAACGCTGATGTGTTATCTAGATTAGAAACGAACCCTGCAGATAGCTTAATAACCCTTTTATATTAATAAATTAAGTTAGAGTAAAAATCATGGATATAATGACGTATCATAATTTGGTTAACTACTTAGAAAAATATGAATATCCACTTAATTACAATAATGAACAAAAATGACATTTAGCAAAAATGGCAAATAATTATTTAGAGAGAAATGGCATATTATTTAGGAAAAATAGGCATAAATTAAATATTCCCCTTCGAGTTATATCCTTGCAGGATAAGGATAGATTGTTATATAATTATCATTTGTCTCCCTTAAGAGAACATTTTGGTATAAGGAAAACTATAGAAAATATTAAAGAAAATTATTACTGGCCAAATATAGCAGAAGATGTAAAACAATATATTAAATCATGCGATGTGTGTCAACGAACAGGGAAACCAAATAAGGACCAGACAGTTATTCCTATTAAGGTAACAGGACCTTTTGACCAAATAGGAATAGATTTTGTAGGACCATTAAAGGTATCTAGTAAAGGAAACAAATACATAATAGTAGCAACTGATTATTTAACCAAGTGGCCTGAAGTGAAACCAGTAACCAATGCGACTGCAAAGGAAGTAGCCAATTTTCTTTATGAGGAAATAATATGTTGACATGGAGTTCCCTCCAGTATAATATCTGATCGAGGAAAGGTGTTCCTCGGGAGGGTGGTGGGATTATTAAAAGAAGAAGTTAGCTTCAAACACAAACTTGCTGCACCGTATCATCTACAAACGAATGGTCTAACCGAAAGGTTTAATAAAACATTATGTCGTTCACTTGGCAAATGTGTAAATTCAGTTACTGAAGATTGGGATGACTTAATTCCCTCAATCCTATTCACTTATCGTACCTTGAAACATTCCACTACAAAGTTTAGCTCCTTTTATTTATTACATGGTAAAGAAGCCCAATTACCCTTACACTTGGAATTATTTTCAGAAAGTTCAATAGAAATCCCTTACGAGGAATCCCTAAACAGACGTATCGCTCAAATAATAGGAACCTTTACAGACGCACTAATATTAGCCAAAGACAATATTGGAACGATTCAGCAAGTACAAGAGGAATGTTCCAGAAAAATTGAGAAAGCTTCCATCTTTAAGGAAGGTGATTTAGTAATATTGTATGACGTCGCTAAACAAAATGTCCATGGTGAAAAGTTTACCTTACGATGGACAGGACCTTATTACATCCATAAGAAAATTGGTGATAAGACTGTAATACTCAGAGATAAAGCTGATCCTGATAAATTAAGTTCACCAATTAACACATCCTTAATTAAGCACTACAAACAAAGAGAATAACAATGTAGCATTGTACTCGAAATAGGATGAAAAGTAACATCAAATTAATTACTGAAGATCACTTAGAAAAGTTATAAATACAAGACCTTTCCCTTAAAAATTTTCCCAAGAAAATCAATGGCATTCTTACAAAATTTACAACAAAAATTGAAAGATTTATATTGAGAATTTCCTGAAAACCTAGAGGAAATTATTATTCAAATGAAACCTGAAAAATTCATAATTACAACTAGTGACCAAACTATTGAAGTCTCTACTGAAACGGTTCAAAGGATTAACTTCACACCATACTTACTAGATTTATACAATGCCAAACTCGACTTTGACTTCGTATTATATGCTGCATCAGGAAATTTTTCAGACATAAATTTCCGTAACATAGACGGGACCCACGGAAATTTACGCCCAAAAATTCAATTTTTTTGACTTTGGTCGCAATTTACGAGACAGGAAGCGA